ATCAAAACGATCTGTTTAATTGAGCTTAATACAAAATTTTGAGATATTTGTCTTATTTTGAAGCAAGTACAGCTGATAACATAAAACTAGTTAAATTATGAACTTTCATGCAGCTAACATGTAAATTTTTTATTGCATTTGCGYGTGTGAGGCAATATTAACATCTCAAATTATATGAATGAAGGACGCAATTATACTTTCTAGACAATTAAAGGCGTGTTAGTATATAAACAATTACAAAAAAGGAAAAGCGAAAGCCCAGGCACTGCATGACCATCATTATTAGGACCAGTCTCGTTCGCAGAGCCTTATGTGTTCTCTTTGGTCGCTCTGGGAATGAGATTGCATTAAGGCTTGGTTCATATATTGATTTTTTTGTCGCGTCTGATTTACTTATGATCATGTCATACTCTGAATTCTGACAAAGTTTGTGGATTTTTTTCATTTTAACAACAAACTTAATATAATACGATCTGTAAATTTCAATTCATTCAGACTGTAAGTACACGAAAAAGCGCGCTCCTTGAAGGCTTTTAACTTAATGGAAATATGATGTAAATCATCAATCTATAATAATTCATGGCTTGGCTTCGCAAGCGCTAGCAAAGATTTCCAGGGTGTCCACGGCGGGCTCGCTCTCATGGCTGGAGAGGCGTATGTGTGATAGCCTCGCCCGAACACAGCGACTGCAGGGGAATGTCGAATCCGGGGTTGTTGCTGTGGCGACGCGGTTCTTCCTCCTGCTTCGCTTCTCCATGAATTGAAGTTTGTGAATATCCCAAACTTAAGTGTCCAAAATCATGGAAAAATCGTCTATAAATTTGGATTTACATTTACATAATATTTCCATTAATTTACATTGTTTGTAAAAGTATGTAAATTTATGTTAATCAAATTTACAATGTATGTAAAAAGTGTGTAAATGKGATGTGTCCRAAATCATGTAAATATTAYTTACACCATTTTTACCGTCATTTTTACATCAMAKTTTTGTTTTCTCGACAGTTGCAAGGATTCTCTGGTGGCATTGCAGGTCTATCAAAGCTACCCATAATGAAAGAAAAAGTAGCTTCTAAGCGCTCAACAACTAAGTTTACCATYCTCTTAGCTGTAATAGTGKTGATGCTTTTATATTTTGGCGAATTTGTGCGAATAGAGGTGRTTTTAAGCAAGCAGACGACTCAASTGGAGCAKTTGAAGAAGCAYATAACGTCAATTCAGCGMAWCAAGAACACCAAAGACCTCRGTGATASCGCTTCTGYCGCGCAAGAACAGGAGTTGTTGAAATTAAAGTCGATGATGAATTCTCAAGTATCAAGACTGAATTTATTGGAAAGAGAAATAATTTTCTTAAAGAACAACAACGTAAACAACCTTGCCAACGCCGGCTTTAGAGGGCAAAACACCAACGATCCTTTTTTTCGACTCGAGCGAAGAAAAAGAGACTCTRAAAGCGAACCTGAACCAAAAGAACAACTGGCTGAATTACATGAACTGACAAARTACATCCCAAAAATYATTCAAGCCTTGGCGGCATTACAATTGGAAAAGAAAATACCAGGACCTAGGGGTCCACCGGGAGRAAAAGGACCAACTGGTTCCCGAGGCATGCCGGGACCCAAGGGAGACAAYGGGCCGCCTGGCTTAAAAGGTGATCTGGGAAAAGATGGTCCTCGAGGAATGCCTGGGAAAAAAGGGGCTGCTTGCACCATGTCTGTAGCTCACCCAAGAGTAATCATATCACCTAAGCACTTGGTTATCAATGAAGGTCAACCGGCCTACTTGGTTTGCTCGGCCTGTGGATACCCAACACCTGATGTTGTGTGGAATAAGGCGAATGGCTCGTTACCAAAAGAAAGGTATACCGAAGATAGTAACCTTGGGATACTCGAGCTGAAGCAAGTCACTCCAGATGATTCAGGGACTTATCAATGTARAGCTACCAACAAGCTTGGTAGTAAACAAAGTGAAGCGACAATTGCAGTGAACTTCAGTCCTCAGGTGAACTTTACCAAGGGACCACTGTATAAAAAGTTAGGCACTGATGTGGTTTTGATGTGTCACGTAACAGGATATCCTAAACCAAAGATCACATGATCAAAGTCCAATGGTTCGTTGCCGAGCAATCGCACTAACATCAAGGACGGACAGATGACGTTGCTAAGATCCAAGAAAGAGGATTCTGGGGCATATTTGTGCAAAGCTGAGAATCATCTTGGTTCTGTTACCAAGGAAACCATTATTATTGTTGTTGATCTGCCTCAATTTACTGTGAAACCTCCTTCAGATTACTACACACTCCCTGGAATTACTATTCGCTTGAATTGCAGCGCAAAAGGAGGACTTCAACCAGTCATCACGTGGAGTAAAGAAAATGACGATCTTCCTACAGGCAGGCATGAAGTGAAAAATGGTTCATTGATCTTAAAAGGTCTGAAAACAAAAGATTTTGGTGTCTATATTTGCACTGCTACAAGTGCTGGTATTTTTGCCACACAATGCAGGTCGACTGTCAAACCAATAGAAGATTGTTCAAATCTCTCCAAAGCAGGTTTGTGTACACTCGACAGTACATATTATCCTATCAATGGCCACTGACAATCGAGCACACAAGGAGTACATAAATAATATAA